TTTAACGCACACACGTTAACTTTATTATTTGGCCTTGAGGATGGTAATCTGAGTTGAAAGGGGATTTAAGACCTCTATTAACTCGATTTAAAACATTTTCAAAGCTCTTGTCTCAATTTATTTTTATGGTCTGAAGTGATACTTCACTTGAATGCGACACAATAATGGAAAAGAATATCAAGCATTGTCCTTGAAAAATACGAAATTCGGAAAGCGGGGGATTCAGTAAATAATGATTGGTTGTTTTTCCAGAACCTTCAGAGGATAAAAATGTTGTAAACTAAATTATTTGATCATAGAACACCTGTTTATTCAACCACTTATATCACCAATTTACAACTTGAAAGGATATTTTGTGGGATTAGTAATCAAGATAAAATTCCCCAGAAATATTTAATTTATTTTACTTTTCTTTAAACATTGAATCCCCTACCATTAATAATGTATAATAATAGAGAGTTTCAACTTTATTCAAAGTGAAAAATGAGAATTGTTTAAATTGGGGAGAATGTAATTGAGTTAATGAGCAAATGAGCTACCTGATCACATGAGTACAAGAAAGTGCAATTTGAGTACAGTAATTTCCCCCCCCCCAATGCTTGCACCACCTCGAGGGCAGTGTATACATAAACCGCTAAATGTCCCCCAATTTTACAAATTAATTAGATTAATTATGAATTAATTAATAGAGACAATGACATTGCTATAAGAAAAAATATGCATATTCTACTTGTTAGATGAAGTCTTTCCATAGTCGGCAATATTTTGACAATCAAAAATTAACTTCCACTAGAGAAATATCTTACCTTCTCGTAGGATTTATTTGCAAATTAAAAGTCTAAATTCTTCCCTGACTCCTGCGTGCTGTCCTACAGAATTCTTTCACTCCACCTTACCTCCCTATATGGAAAAGCTCTTTTTTACCCTATTCAATTATTATAATTACTTAAACACAAATATATGCTGCCAAAGAGTTTAAAATCAATTAAATTTACATGGCAAAAAGGAGTTGTCACAAGTTCGTAAGGCCTGCAATAGTTCAATTTTTGGAAACATGTTTGAAGTCAGAAGTCAACTGCCGGTTAATAGACTTTTTTGCCATGTACTCTTCTGTTCCCCAACCCCTCGACTTCCTGTTACTTTGATATCCCTTCCCCTCTGTGAAGCCTGAAGTCAACTAAAGGGCTAATGATAACTATCAAAACGCCTGCCATTTGAAATAAAAAAATTAATTTTTGGACACTGAGAAAATAGGCACTTCACAGCCTTTAATTAATATCATAGTATTAACCCAGGGTTTCCGATTTGAAAAGTTAATAAAACAATAATTTTGCACAATTTAACATCTTCCTAATTTGTACCAATTTAAATGGTCAAGTTATGTGCTGTGGTGAATTCAGTTCCATTTGGTTGGTAACTTCAGTTAAGTTTCTTTCTAAGAAAAAGTACTTTTTGTTTTTGGAAAACTTTGATGAACTTATTTCATCAAGACTTAGCACTTTTGCAGAGTTTCTGGTTAAAGTTATGCGTTTCAAATTTGTTTCACTAACGCCATTAATATTCGAAATCCTCCCTAAATTGTTTCCTTGTCAGTTCAATGTCAAACAATTTTAATGTTCTTCAAGGCACTAGGAGCTAACTAGGCTTCCCCATTCCCCATAATTGTCCTTTTGTCTGTT